AAACATACAAATAGTCAGTTGACAGAGACACTGAACTGAATTAATTTGCACACAATATATTCATTCATATTATACATAAATTCATAAGAAGAAGAAAAAAAAAAAAAAAACAAATCAATAGGATTCCTCCATGAAATAGAACATGCACAGTAAAACACTGAGATAAGGTGTTTACAGTACCTGCTGCCAGCCTCGCGGTGGTGCTGCTCCTGTTCTCTGCCGACATGCTCTGCTGACTCTCTGCACTCTGCTGCCTTAATTGCTGAATCAGTTTGAGGGAGAGGGAACGCCCTGTTCCTTCATAACTGCAGAGATGAAGGAAAACGGTGGTCAGAAGGACGGATAGAGATGAAGTGGTTAAAATGATTTATTCATCCACAAAATATTAACTCTCTTGATTAAAGACCAAAGGTTTACTGGCTGCGGTTCCACAAGTGTGAATATTTTCTGCTTTTCCTAGTCTCCTATTACTACATTGAATATCTTTGACTTTTAAATTACTAGTTTATAAAACAAGCAATTTGAATTTGTAAACTTGGGCTTAGGAAAACTGATGTACAAAAATGTCCTTGCATCAGTCAGACAAAAGCACTGTGTATTTGCTTATACAAATGTCATCCACACCCTCATACTGACCCATTGATGGTGGAGGCCATGAAAACCAGGTAAGGCCCCAGCAAGTCTTTCACTAAAGGAAGAGGGATGGCTGCAGCCTCATCAATGACCAGCAGTTCAGCCTGGCCCAGCTTCACTGCATCGCCTGGGTGGATGTACTGTTGGTCACAGGAACAGAAAGGCCAAATGCGTACTTCACATTACTACTGTAAATAACAACAGACGGAGAGGAGCGCTCTGGTCTTGTTTACCTGAATCGTCTGCCGATGCTCTTTGAAGATGTTCACCCGCACCACGGCTTTGTTAAACTCTGGATTCAAAGACTGGATGATTTCATAGTCCAGATGCTCCTAAAAGAAGACAAAAGAAGACATGAAGTTGCAGGTGCTCATCATATGGAATTATGCTATGACTGATGCAGAAGAGATGCTCACTACCACCTACCTGATACTGCAGAGCATCAAACCCTTTGAAGATGAACTCAAACATGGTGTGGAGGTTGTCCGGGCTCGGTGACGTTACAAGAGGGGGGGAAAAAAAAAAAAAAAAAAAAACAGTCTGGCAACTGAAGGCAATGTAGTAGACAGAACTCATATTTCTATAACTATAAAACTAATCTGTACCCAAAAGCCACAGCTCCAGCCACAGCCAGCCCCATTGCTGCAGACTTCCCTCGACCACGGGCAGCAGTCAGAGCCACGGTGCTCCTCAGAGTCTTCTCTGAGATTGCTTCAATGAACTTCAGCACTGCCTTAGCCTGTAGGACGTTGCAAGCATTGAAGATGACAACTGAACTCCAAACTGCTGGTTACTTCAACTGCAAAGCTCTATGACTTTTATTGGGTGCATTCATCAAATGTGGCAAATGTGAAGAGTGGCTCTCTAGCACGAGGTCCTGACCTGGTCCATGGTCCTGCAGCAATCTACCAACACACCCACAGGCTGAGTGTCCTGGAGGGACTCCTTCACATCCTTCAGCTCCTGTTCTCGTGGAGACAAACTGTCCTCCTGGAGGGGATGAGACAACTTGTCAGGAACCAGGAAGCCAATAACCAACAAGAAACTAATTTTATTTATACTGTATGTTACACATTTCAAAAATCACAAAGGAGGCAGAAAAGACAAACTGAGTAAAAAACAAACAAACAAAAAAAAACATGAAACTTTCAAACCAGAATGAAAACATGGCAAAGATGTTTTCAGATGCTACTTAAAAATGTGCACTGGCTTGACTTCAAGAGGCTGATCCAAAGTCAGTGGGATGAGCAACAAGTTTGTTTCCTAGAACAAGTAACAGCTTGCATGATAAGAATTGTTTGGTTTTTTAATCACTCCTAAAAAAACAGAGAGCCAGAGGAGAGAAGCTACAGCTGATGTATGGTGTGAGCTACATGTTGTACAAACAAACCGTGAATTCTGCTTTTTGCTTTCACTGTTGTGGCTCAACGTTGTGCATAGACTAGAAATGCAAGCAATTAGTTTCCTGAACAATAATAATGTTTTTAATGAATAGTTACAAAATTTTTCTGCCAGTCACTATTCTCCACAGCTCAAGGTTCACCAAAAGTGCAAAACCCAGAGAGCTGTCATTTCAAATTATATAAAGCAGGGAAATGCTGAAAAATATCCCACAGGAGAAGCTGGAACCAGTAAATGTTTTCAATTAACTGTTTCTACTGTAGTACAGGTACCTGAGTCTTTGGAGGAACTGGCTTGATGTTTGTCATGTGGCTGGAGATTGGCAGAATGTTGAGCTGGTCATCAATGACAACACAGTTTTTGCAGGATGCAAGAGACAGAATGAACCTAGAAATAGCAGAACAAAATGAAAAATACAGTTAAATTAACATTAACACTGACCAAACATTTGCTCCAAAATCCAGAGCAGCATGTACCTCTCGTTGAACCGTCCCACCACATCCTGATGGGCCTCAGTTCTGTATCGAGCGTGTACATCCTGGAGGAAAACAAAACACAGCTATAAGTGATCTGACCAGCAAACCAGTCTGGACAGGTGTGGAGATAAAATGGATAGCGGGGCTTACCATAGTCATTGTATACAGCTGCTTGAGAGAGTTCATTGTTCTCAGCAGTATGACCACTATCCCACCTCCTTCTACAGTTTCTATAGTTCTCGCCAACAGGTTGGGAGTGACAGCTTCAAAATCCTGTGTGACAAGTGAAACAACAGAAACAGAAATAAAGCTTGAAAACACCTCATTTACTAACTTTATATAAACCTACAGTAGTGGGCTTCAATCTTTTTTCAGCTGCGACCCTTCTTCTCAGGCTGCAATGAGCTGTAAGTCAGTCAACCAAAAAACTTCTGACCAAAAGCAAGACTTAAAGTTGTTTTTTTATTTTATTTTTAAAAACACCTTTTGTTAATAATCTCACAAGTCCTTATATTTATCCCAAAACCCTCTGGGAATTCTGGATACAACATTGGGAACCACTGGTCTGTACTAGTCAGCCAAACCATGCACACTGTCCTGACAGCTCTCCTTTATATTTGCACAGTCAATACTGTTTAACATGGAGCAGAGACCCACCTGTAACACGCACATGCCGTAGGTATTTCCCAGGATCTTGTGGGTCTCATTGTAGTAACAGTATCGGATGTTTGTTGCAGCGATGAATAGTTCAAACGGGTCATCCTGGTTCAGATTCAATGTCCCTGTTTTAATCTTCTTCTGTAGGTGTCTCATGCGCTTCTTTCGATTGCTGTTAAAGGCAACGATTTTACAAACCAAAACCCCATTTTCTTTTTTTCTGGTACAACAAATGACAAACATCTAATTCCAGGTGATGAGTTTAAGCTCACCTGCTGAATCCCAAGTCTTTTTTGTAGCACCAGAGTACAGAGGGTCGTGCTCTGACAGCAGCTTTAGACAGCATGTGATGCAGGATGACAACCTGGATCAGAGACAGATGGTACTGGTTTAATGCTCAGCGCAAAAAAAAAACAAACAAAAAAAAACAAAAACAAAAACAAAAAAAAAACGTGAGAGACAGCTATATTGACAAAAAATACATTTTATAACATGTCTACTTATACTCCTAAAATATATAAAGAGGAACATGCATTACCTGATCCCTTCCACGATCTCCCACCACCACAAACATGGTGCGATGCTGCAGAGCCACTCCATTCTCTATCTGGACCCGAATCCGGTTGTCTATCTTCTTGCGGACTGTTGCCATCGTCTTCCTGCTACCGGGACAAACCAGGTGAATCTATATTGCAGGTACATTAAAACACAACAGCAAATAACACAGTGAAACAAAAACAGCGCAATTCCACCCACAAAGTGCTGTCGACTGAGTTAGGCAGAAAGACTGGCTAGAGCCAATTTGCGACCCAAACAAATGACAGCATTACATCTAAAACCTGCTACAAAGCGACGAAGAAGGGCAGCAAATTAAAGCGCCGTTTAAAACACTTTACCTTGTTACAGATAAATTGGTGTTGTTTAATCTAAAAAAAATCCGCCAAGTCCGAAACTCAATTTACACGCCAGCCATCACGCTCTTCATACACTCACGTGGAGACAGGACTTTCTGGAGGACCCCGACTGTGACGTCAACATTGCGCGACGGTCTACACGGAGAGCGACAGGGACCGGCTGCAGAGAGTCGTGCTTTAAGTTATGTCTCCCAGATGGAACCTCTCTACAACCGAAGCTGTAAACATTAGATCCCGAGACCCAGGAGTATGCAGAGGTACCCGTCGTCTTTGGATGTTGTCTAATTGACGTTATCTCTTGTGTGCGTGGCTACGGAGGTAGAGCGGTCGTCCCCTATCCAGACGCCCGGCGGTTTGATTCCCGTTCCTCCCAGTCCACATGTCCCAGTGTTCTTCGGCAAGATACGGAACCCCGAATTGCTCCCGATGGCCAGGTCAGCACCATGAGGGACAGGGCCACCATCTGTGTGTGTGTGTGTGTGAGAGACATACTTGGCCAATAAAAGTGATTAAATTAAAATGCTGTGATCTGGCCTGTAGTATTGCTTGACATTTTGTTGTAACCATCAAGCTGTGTGACAACTATTGACAATCTAGTTTAAAAAAAGTAAACCAAACAAACCTACAACTAAACAAAAATTCCCAAAGCTGTGTGACATTTTGCATTGAGAAACATTCCTCAAATGTAGAACAAAAAAACCCCAAGGCTGAAACATGGGTATGCAACGACTTTATTGAAACTCTTGAAGCAACATCAATTTACAAACAAGGAAATGGGAGCTCAATGAACAAAAACATGGATTTTTTTTTTTTTTTTAAAAACCAAAATGACAAAAGAGAACGGGAATGAACTCCCCTGGACAGAATCAGCAGTGGCTGGTGCGTTTTTATACAAAAAATAACTTATGAAAACTTTCAAGTTTACAGGAATATTGAAACAAGCCATGTGTAGATCGATGGCTGGATTTACAGCTTAGCTTGCGTTTTAGACTTTTGTGATTCCAAATATCAAAGCAGGCAATACTTTGATTGAAGAGACAGGAAAAATACCACTGATGAAGAACAAAGGAAGAGAGAACTTTAAGTGGGCTGGGGCAAATGCATTTTTGAATTTTCAGTGTGGTGCAAGTTAAACAGTCACAGTCATTATGAAAGGCCTTTTCAGGATCGCAGTGCCTGAGTGCTGCCTCTTGACACTCCTCTGGGTCCCTGACCAGTTCCACGCTTGTAGTTCTGTTGGTAACCATCCTTAGCAATAAAGAAAACACATATTTCAGAAACTACTCCAAATGCCAAACATTACAAAGGCAGTAAATGTATCTTTCATACCCTCTGGTAATTGCCATTTGAGTAGTCGCGAGGTGTACTGAACTGCGTCTGTCCATAACCAGAGTTTGGCGTATTGGCGAAAGGAGGACGATAACCATCATAGCCACCTAGAAATAAGAAGATTTCCAACTCACAGTGCCTCTACTGAGATTAACAGTAAAATAAGATCACACTTAAAATCATTTTAGACATGCACCTCAATGTTACATAACGTGCCTGAGTCACAGGATTAGTCAATAAATAAGAACATTTTAGTGAATTCACTGAAGCCGGGGTGAGCGTTCCTTTCACTTTCAACGGGCAATTAGTGGCCATTCAGACTGAATGCACTGAAATGCAACTGCTTGTGGTGTTTTAATGCAAGGGGCTGGGATGTTGGGAGTTTGCAGGGGGAGTGTCATGTAGGCATATACGATATGGCCATGCTGTGACAAGTCAGTGCAAGTGGCCATATTCATGTTTCCAGCTCACAGGTTTCCATTGTGTTTTGGTTAGCCATGCTGCTAATGTACTCTATGTTAGCACCAGTTTCTGCCACCAGTGTGTCAGCATGGATAGATTCAATAAATAAAAAAACAAACACATTTAACATTCAATAACTAACAAAAATGCATGGCATGTTATGGGGCGTTTTAACTGTGGCCTAGATTTGAAAGTAACTATCAGGTAATGCTCATGATAACCCTGGTAACATGGTAAACAAGAGTCTTCCTCCCATAGACATCCACATTTTGGTCGGCCCACATTACTGGATCATGTCACTGTGCAGTGAAAATTACAAATCCAGCAACATTACATGTCTGAAAAGAGCTCAAATGACTTGTGGCTATATGTTGTGAGCTTACTTCTGAATCCATTTGATGAGCCTCTGTAGCCATTGATCATGCCCCTGGCATTGCGGGGTCCACCACGAGACATGCCTCTGCTGTTATATAAGGATTGAGTTTGCCTGCCAAAGCCGGGACCCTGCTGGGAAGGCTGCTGATGGCCTCCTGACTGGTCTTGGGAATGGAAGGCACCAACTACTAAAGAAACATGGGTTTGGGTGCCGCAAAACATATACCAATCAATCTACAGTCACAGTCTATCATCCAGCATTAAATAGAAAGAGTTTAATCTCAGGAAGACAAATCTGGCACAATCACATTGGTAAGTAATGGGGAAAAATATTTAACTGAAAATCTGCCCACCAGACTGCAGTTGTTCTGACTGCATCTCTGTCTGCTCCACAGTATGCTGTGTCTGGCTGCTGAAAGCCTGGTTGTAGCCGTTCTGGTATTGGCTGGTTCAAAGCCTCTGTCTCATTAGCTGGTGGGACTGGGGCATTGAGGTTGAACACCTGAGGGGTGAACAAGGACTACATTGTGGTGAAGCCAAACCCAGAGCAAAGGCTTATGCTTAGGAGTAAAGTCCATTACTCACCAGTTCCTGTATATAGCTACATGACTACAAAGCCATACAACTGCAATATGATGAGAGGGCACTTAAGGATTCCACAAGCAAGTCCTAATGGAAGTCATTAATGCATTTGTATTTTGATTCCAATGGTGGTGATGCAAGTGCTGCAAAAGGCAGACAGGCCAAATACTGTAGTCTTTGACTAAACTTAATTAAATGGTTGTAATATACATATATGCTAACACAATGAACCGTTCACCAATTTTACATGAGAAAAAAACAAAAACAAACGGAGTCTTACTGTTTGCATTGATTGGAATGGTGCCGCATTGACATTGATGCCACTGCTGTGAGGAGATTTGGAAACAGGCTGGAAAACCTGTGTCTGAGAGGCCGGGGACAGAGCTGTAGAGTGGGGAGGCTGCTCTGACGTTAACGACATTGAGGTCTGTTGAAGAAAGACAATACAAGTTGTATTAACACAATTTTACAAGTTTTGGTGGTTGGTTTTCATGAGATGCTACTTATGACGATAGTGATTTGATGGTTGTCAGAATTAGTAGTGAAAAAACAGTTCAACATTTTAAAGTAAAAACTACAGGAAACCAAAGAGTAAAAGCATTATCATACGTCATGACCCCCCCACCCTCAACTTTCACCAATAAAAAGATTAGAGATTCCAACACGGTTCTTGCCATTAGCACTTGCCTGGGGCAAGTAAACTACATTTGGATAAGTGGAATGCATCATGCAGTTGCCCGATTAGCTAAGTGAAAAACAGTCTTATCAGTTTTTCTGTGTTGACAACAACTACTGTTGTTATCCATATACTAGCTGTCCATGCTTTTGGTTGACCAGAGGCTGTGTTTGACTTACTGACCTTGCTTGTGAGACTTTGTTTCCCTAACAAAATAAAGTATTACGTGATAGTTTAAGGATCTCCTCAAATGGGTATAAAATCCAGGCCATTGTGCGTTCATGCGAGCTTGCCTGACATCCACTGGTGCCCCTATCATATTGGCAAAATGTTATATTGCCTTGTTTGTTATGTGTATTTTCAATAAAGCTTATGTTAAAAAAAAAAACACATCTGGCTTTGATTCTGAAACAATTAAACTATTTGGAGTTATGAGAGGTGCCAAGCTAATCTAGAGGTACCCAAGATTAAATGGCTGGAAATGAGCAAAATGAGCATACCATGGGCACTTTAACCTTATGCACGTAATGAGTGATCATTTGTTTTTTTTTTCTCTTAAAATGTTTGATATTTAATGTTTCTCTTGAAATGCAACGCCTAAATTCCAAGTAACACAGGCGCCTGAAATATCGGTTTCATTCAAAAAGAATGAACGTGAAAAGAATACTTATTCAAAAGGTAGAACATGGTTTACCTGGATGGGGTCGATAGATTCTGTTGGAGGTCGAGGATCTGGTGTGTGCGAGGTCTGATACAGCGGGGGCGGTGTTGGGGAGACGATAGGGATCTGTAAATGGGGACAGTAAACCTTGATCACGTTCTCTAAAGTTTCTTACTGGTGTCTACCCTATCGGTATCATCTTCTCCTGTTTGACTGCTTACTTGTGTAGGCTCAGGTTGGACAGGAACAGTGTTGGGCTGTGACAGTCGGGACTCGGGGTGAACTGAGAAGATTCAAGTACTGCACTTTAGTCTTCAAGAATTCTCAGTGCAGCTTTTCAGTTGGAATATTTGCACATCATAAAACATCAGAACTGGACTTCTCTTAAAACCTACCTGGAGGACACACCATCTGTGGTAGGTCCATGCTCTGAGCAGGTTTCATGGGCTGTGCTGATACAATGGCTGGGTCAATGGGCTGTCCATCAAACTCCAGCATGGAGTCCTGCAAACAGATTAAAAGATTAGTATCATAGTAAAATATCTGGAGTACAAAGAGCCACTCCTAGCACTAACTCCTCACCTGCATGAAGTTGTATGTTCCCTGCATTTGTGCCATTAAGTCCTGCACAACCTGCTTCCTGACCAAGGGGTCGGTAGGTGGCACAGGAGATAAGTTCATGGGGTGGGTCTCCAAGGCAACAGGGGGTGCTACAGGCTGCATGGGCTGCTGCATGACACCGACTGCCTGAGAGTGGAGACAGAAAGAACAGATGAATGAGAAATGTACAGGAGGAGGGATAACTGAAAACTGGTTTAGTGCTTATTAGATGCAACCTGATTACATCCAGTTCCTGTTGTGTAAATTGTAAACACCACATATAATAAGCCAACATGCAATGTGAGTAATCCAGTATATTTACATTAGTTTTGTGAGTTCAACAGAGAGTGTAAACTCTTAATTATGTATGTGAGTAACAAACCAACCAGTCAGAGGCAACATCAAAAACCTGACCTACTCATTATCACCAGGGCCTCACAGTCCTCACTGGACATACGACCAGTACATGAAACTGCTACTATTCTCAACTCCCTTATGAAACTTCATGTTTCATTTTTTCACATCTTTCAATTACAGTTTAGTCTTCTATGACAAAGTACAACAGAAAAACAAAAACTGTACCGTGAGCCCAAAAACTGGATAAACATCAGACAAATACTTGTCCTGTCACTGTTAAATGGGGCAAAAACAAACGAAAAATTGAATTACTGCTTCATGGCTGTATGCCTCCAACTCAAATTCACAGGAATGGGACAGAAGTGAGGTCATTGACCTTGACCTTTGACCACCAAAACCTAATCAGTTCATCTTCTAGTCCAAACGAACCCTTGAGCCAAATTTGAAGAAATTCCCTCAAAGCGTTCCTGACATATCACATTCACAAGAATGGACCATACAGAGAAACAAAAGGACAACCTAAAAACCTAATGTCTCTGGCCGCAGCTGCCGCCGCTAGGGGGGCATAAGATATTAAAAACAATATGATGAATTGACAAATCTAACCTGAATGTCACATAACCAGTTTAAACATGAAATAAAGAAAATGTAGCTGCCACGTGATAGCGGTAGCACCCCAGCAATACACTGCACACCTGTGTAAATTTTAACAGCTTGTTTAATGAAACAAGGCCATTCTGTAGTTGCATTTACAGAAGCCAGTTTTTCCACATACTGTTAACTAAAGAATGACATTTTACCTTCACGTTGCAAATCATTTGAATAACACCCTGCACTCATTTGCAAATTCTGCTTTCTAAAGCTGCATTATGTCAATGATCAAGTCATGCAAACAACACTTGAATTTCTTACATACAACCTCAATTCTTTAAGATGTTCTTAGGGTACACTTCCACTGAACACTTGCCAGCTAAAAACAGATGCTTCAAAATCATCTTAAAAATGAGGCCACTGGAAGCTAAAATGCTTTTAGGGTGCAATAAAAGTACAAACGAGAAAAAAATACAAAAAATAAATCTGCAAATCATAAGAGGGAATGTAAACTTCAGCCCCAGAAAAACAAAAACATTGCTGCAGTATACCTCTGTTTCCGTGGCCCACTCATCCCCCTGCTCCTTCTCACTGCCGCTGTATGTGCTGTCTGAAATGAACTGTCTATTTACAAACTGAAAGGAGAAAAAGCAAACATCAGCACAATGCTAAAAAAATAAGACAAAAAAAATTAAAAAGGCCCCAAGAGGAACAATCTCACCTCTGTTGTTTCCACCGCAATGGGCTCTGTGAACTCCTCAATTATTTCAGTTTCTGTAAAAAGACAAACAGTTCAGAGACAGCAGTGCTGATCTTATTAGAGGATTACAGAACAGTTTTATAAATGACAAAGTTTAGTTTAGTCCACCCTCAGACAATGGTCAAGACCTGGATCAACAGTCTGCTCTTCTACTTCTGACAATTCAGCTGCTACAGCTGGCTCTTCCTCCTCTTCCTCCACACACACTCCGTTTTGGTGAGATGAGACCCGGTCGAAGTACCCACTCAGCAGAATATGGTCCAGAGTGTCTTTCAGTGCTTTGTCTAGCAAAGGAATAAAAGCCAGCGTTTCATTGGAAAGCCATAAAAGCAGATATTCAATGATCATATTATCCACTAGGTCACAACTATCAAATATTTTGTGAGCTTTAAATCTTTGGAAGGATCTATTAAAGGTGCTCTATATGTTGTTTTACAGGCAGTAACAATTAAAGGAAAAGCCTAAACAAATGACTGGTTTCTTCCAGGATGACTACAGGGCATGAGGGGGGTCACTGAATGCAGAGTATGAAAACAATGTGAATCATATGCTCTGGACTTCAGTCACCAGATCTCAACCCAGCTGAGCACCTATGATTCTAGACCGACATCATCAAACCACCACGAGGGAATGTCTTTTGGACCAATGGTGTTTGTCCCTTCAAGCAGAGAGTCCAGAGACTTGTAGAATCAATGCTCTGGCAGCCACCCAACACCTTACAAAGACACTATGCTGGTTTTTCCTTTTTGTCACCTCTCTGTAGATTTCACATCACATAAGATCTTTGTATTTTTCTATAGCAGTCAAAATTTAAAAACTACACAGTGACAAACTTAAAATTCCATTAAAACAAACCTCTTTAGACAATACTGAACATAAAATTTGCATTTAGAATGTAAAATGTACACAAAAGTCTCTTTTAAAAAAGCTGGTTGACAAAATGTGTTCTAGGGCCTTATATGCCAACGTGCTGCGATGCAACCAACATGGGATAAGCTAAAAACTAAGGTAGCGTCAAAATCAAGTCCTAATTCAACCTTATGGCGGTTAAAGTTTCTTGAACTAGTTACCGATTAGATTTACACCACTACAATAAACATGACTAGTAAATCGGCAGAAATGCCCTTAAGATAGCTCAGGCATTTCCCCTTTCTGGCTCTTTGGGCAAACCAGGTCAGTGTCATTTCCTTTACTGCCTTGTGCCTCAGGCCAAAATGTCTGTCACTCTCTGAATAAATATTGCCCTGTGTCACCAAGTGAAACCTCATTACTGAGGTAAAAGTGCTGGCTGATGTGTCACTACAGTGAAATGGGTCACCAGGATTCTAATGTTGCTCCAGAGGTCTGACCAGTACAATCATAGGCAACAGGGCTACTGGCACCTTGCCCTGCTGCTGAGTCAGGATAAGCCAGCAGCACTTAGCCGAATGTAGCAGTCAGTCCCAAGGCCAGAAAGCTGAGAATGCGGTATGCCAATATCACCAACCCCTGATTACTCATATCACTACACACAGGCTACATGAACAAAACAAAATGTACATGCCACATTAATACAAGTCTGGATTAAAGCCTCCAAAATCTTATGACAAGGCAATGTTCAGAGCTTTTGCAACCACCATCTACGTAATCTTGGGATTACTCAAAAAGTATGAGAAATTATTGACAGCTTTTTGATCAAAAGCTGTGTCACCAACAATCCAATAAAATGTCCTGCCAACAATGTTCACCACCTGCTGGACATCCACATAAAGCCTATTCATCTTCAGTGAATCCCTCTTATATTAACTCAGTTTTCCTATAAATTACAGTAAGGCTGCAGCAAAATTATTTTCAATATGGTTAATCTGATGGTTATTTTTTTCTATAAAATGTCAGTCAAGAAAATGTCCAAATTTTTCCAGAGCCCAAATTGTTTACAAATCTAAAAGTTTTGTCAGCACAACAATCCAAAGGACAAAGACAGAGGTTACTAACAAATCAACTAATTGTTTCAACTGTAGATTATATCTTGTGCTAAAAAGAATTAGCCAAAGCCACCATTAACCAAAAATACGGAACCCTAGTGCTCGAGCCTTTGAACTAATTTAAAACTGACTTACATGTCGTTCCAACTACAGCCTTGTCCTTCCCTTCCAGCAGGTCCCAGAGATGCACAGATGCTTCTTCATACTGGTCAGCCAACCTGTGAGCACAATAAGTTGTATGGATCACCTCAGTAAAAAAGAAGCTGTCATCTTTTGCATCTCAGATTGATCCAGATATTAAAGCTTTATACCAACCTGATGTTTTGATCACGGTCTGGCCCCACCAACTTGTAGAACTCATCAAAAGCTGCGAGATCTGCATCCGTCATCAGCGGTGAGCCACTAACTCCTTGTTTCAGGTCCTGTCGCACAGTGTCATCTCCCAGCCGGTCCAGGAGGAACTGCAGCTCCAGAACCGTCTTCAGTCGTCTCTGCTCAGCCTCTTCTCGCTGCAGCTGCTCCCGCCGTGCAGACTTCTTTACCACTTTCTGGATCTAATGATAATATACAGTATATGTGCCTCATGAAGAAAACCTACTGCGAGTTAGGACAGACACCACTCTGAGGGAACATTGAAAAAAAACAAAAAACAGAGTCCGCCTTACATCTTGTCCCAACGCAATGAACGTCTTTTGCAACTCTCTGGCGAACTCCAAGTTATTCATGACTTCCTGATATTTAGAAAGGGCGTCCTATGAAAAGAGAGAGAGAGAGAAAAAAAAAGACATTTCACACACTACTAAACTGTAATGTCTTTTAAGAACAACAGGATTATTTGTGCTTATGTTCAGAATGATAGAGGATTGAGTGTACCCACCAGCTGGTCCTGATTGAGTCGCTCGCCTTTTTTCTTCCTGACTTGATAATCATCCAGTCTGCTCTGTGGAAGGACATCCAAAATGTGGCAAACAGTTCTGAATTTTCACACATTAAGTAGAGTTGTAAATACTTTAGTTTATTTGGAGTACATTAGCTATAGACTGCCTCTGAGTGAGAGATTGTAGCGACATGTTATCAGACAGGATGCGAAACAAATGGATGTAAAAGTCCTCACCTTTTTCTTTTCCATGTTACGGACCTTCTTGTCAATGACACACAGCACTTGCTTCAAGACTTCTGACTGGCCACCGAGTGCAAAATTGCCCAGTAACCCTGGAGCGGATCCCATTTCCGGGCTGGCAGACTGCACTGTCCTATTTGCATTCATTGCTGAGGGCATCTAGAAATTAAAGTATGAAACATTAACTTTTGATGTCAATCGAGTGAACTTCATACATCTAAAATAAAAATTGGTAAACTGGATCAGAAGATACCCTGAATTGGGGTACTGTACTTGGAGAGACCAATACAGCCTTAAAAAAAATATATATCACAATTCCCCAGGGCCCACATTGGCATACTCAGATTGCTTATTCTTATCTAACAGTCCAAAACCTGAAGTTATCAGTTTACTGCCAGAGAAATTTAAGTGACTCAGCAAATAGTCACATTTGAGGAGCAGGAACTAGCTAAACCTAAATGATCAGTTTATAAAATTGTTAATTTAGTCTGATAAAAAAAAAAACAAACACCAGTTTTCAGCTCTACATGAAACATACATTTAGTTGATCAATCAAAATAAAAAGGCAACAACTTAAATAATTAAGTGATTGAGAGTAATTTTTCAAACAAAAATGCAAAACACTTGATGGTTCCAAGATAGAGACTTTATTGATCTTGATGGAAATGCAGATCTTACATGGGAAAACGTGTTGCTTTTGTTGATCTTTTCATTACATCGAGGAAGTTATCAGCAGGTTAATCGATGAGCATAAAAGTTAGTTGCACCCTAAAACAGGTTAAGAGATAAAGTAGATGTCATAGGAGTCAAGCATCAGACAGGTCAACTAAAGTGCAACATGAGTAAAATGTGACAAAACCGATGTTCATCGCTGAGATGGGATTTAACAACACAAGCCAAACCGTACAGCTAGATAGTATCAATGTTAACATGTATAACGTTATAATATACAGACACGAAGCTTTGTAACAAAATATCAGTTACACTATATACCGAAGTACCACAGCCATTTGTGGGCACACTGGAGAGAAGACATTTTGAACCCTTTATTTTTGCCTTATCAAAATCGCTTCTACTTGGGATACAAAGCATTTTCTTCCGTTACCGGTTGTGTGGCCCAGAGCTCATCCAGTACTGCAGTCAGCCAGCCTAGGTTACCGCTGAGGTTTGGCCCTGGCCGCACCGCCGCAAGCACACACCATTTAACCTACTATTTAAAGCTAGCATCTGCCTTCAAGCACTGCTAACGCTAGCTAACTTGCTTGTCTAGAAGCTACCGCAGGGCAGCGCGTGCTAGCCAACAGCTGGACAGCAGCCTCGTCACCTTGATAGCGCAACTCCCGGTTCACCCACCTTGATGTTATATATCCACAGGGGAGCTTGCTAGCGAAACTTACGAAACGATCAAATTGTTTTTACTGTTGTGTTGCTTTATTTTCGCTTTCTCTCTAGTGTGGGATCCGCCCCGCCGGCCTCACAGACAACTAAGACGGTTCGAACGACGGGAAAAGGCTTTATAAAGGCGAAGGTCCGTTTTTAGCAAGTAAAGATATGCCTGATTAAATTAAGTACAAAAACAATACTTAAATAATCAAAGAATTATTAACAAAAACATTCCACACAAAAACAAAATAGCTTTTTCAAATTCCAAATAAACGATTAATCTAGCCACAAATAAGCATCATAAGGTTTCTATTTATGATCAGGCAAGATAAGTCTACAGCCTCTTGGCAGAACATCTGCACAATCATTAGCTCTGATTAGGCTCTTCTATCTCTATTTCTGTTCCTTATAGAGTATTTTTCTGCAGCAGCTGCGCCATCCTGCTGTAAGTCTTGGCATGTGTTTGTTCACAGCTGTCTGACACAACTGGTCAGTCATGGCAGTACTCTTTTTAGTAGCACAAAATTCAAGAACAAACTTGAAGGCAAGTTCAGTAGTTCAAATATAGGCCTCTAATTTCAATTTACAAACACTAAACCCCCTTGTTGCCTTGGTCTCTCCTTTCTGGAGAAATGCACTGATGTATTCTAAATCAAGGTAATTTGAAATTATCAAAAAGTTGCATGAATTCCTATATCAGCAGGGGAAATAAGACACTGTAAGGCCATATCAGTGTATTTCTTCCATTAGTCAGAATTATAAATTACTGTATATATGAAGCATTTGTACTTCAGCAACACCACTAATAATTTAAATAAACAGGATAAAATAGTGTGGATGCTGAATCAGCATGTACACAATAAAATATATGTGTAGGTTTATATGTTGAATTACAGTTTAGAGGGCTTGTGTTCTGGAAAAAAGGACAGAGGGTTATAGGGTTTTGGCCCAGTTGTAGTCCTAAAATTATGACTCCTACATGTAGAGAGTTACCAAGTTATTAGGTCAATATTAGTAGAGAATTCTTTATAATGTTCAACAGCATGGTGATAGCTCCAAAACAAATTTAGAGAATTAACAATATACTGTATTTCCTAATGTACTGTCCACATTTAGAACATATCAAATACCAATCATCAGTTTTACAATCATAAAACCATGCACCTGCATCTCATACATCTCTTTGACTTCAAGGCTGACAACCTCTGCAGTGCAAAAAAACAAAAAAAAAAAAAAACAATTACAGTGTTACCCATACTAAGAATTAATTAAATAATTGGCCTATATGATATAATACACTGTGTTTGGAGGCACATAATGGAAAGTTTCAGATATGTAAGAACAAAACAGGTTCTAGAGGCCATGTCCATATTTCTATCATCTTCTTTTGTACCTTCCATCACCAGGTGGCAGTAAAGTTCAGCAGTGTGATCAGCAAGGAAATACTGTATTACAAAATAAAACTGGGACAGAAGAGAATGTAGATACTATGTAGCCTCTGCCATCTATGTTTAATAAATTAATTAAGTTACTATTATTACACAGAATATTTTCATAATTTGCTTATCTGAATAAATCTGAGCACAGACCGAATATAGGACATATGGAAAATTTGAGGATTAAATTTTGGATAATTTTGGAATTGCTTATGTTCTTCTGTTTTCACTTCACATTTGACCACAGTTTTCATCAGTATATAAAGGAGGCAAACTGACATGAAGTCCACAAGAATGTGAAACTAGCTTTCTAATGTTTTGCCAAATACAGGAAACAGTTAACATGGCTGCACAGCTTTTTGATTGCACTGTTCCACTGAACGTGTTTTCTTTTGGGATAATACTGATTATGGGAGGATCCCCAGGGTAAGTGAAGCTCCCTTTCAACAAGTGACTCATTTCCGCAGCCTGCTGTATTTCAATCAAACAAACACAGTGAACACCAGCCATTTTCTAAAAGAATTTTAGGGTGGTTCCTCATATGACCTTCAACCTCCTGAATTTCACAGATCTTCAGTTTAAACTTGTGTGGTAACAATAAAACTTACCTACTCATGTGGACCTGTGGCAGCTCAGAAGAAGGGCTTTGAAACAAAAACCAGTTATCACATCACTTCAGATTAGGCAGGATGTGATCAGTTTTGGTATTACTTTTCCAACGTTTGCTGTTAAAGTATATGTTCAAAGTCCCTTTATTTCAGAAAAGAGGCATGAAAGCCTGTGTTGATAGCCCAACCATCTTTATGGGATCTATTTAGTAGGAAATCTCCACTGACTTAGCAAGACGGTGTTTTATTGGATTACTGATTGCAGCGGCCTTGCCCTGCTTTGCTATTTAGTAGCAACTTTTAATATTCACATTATTTGGTGAATGATGAGAGACCATTAGCTTTTTACTGTTCGGATAGTACTGATGCTCATTTTCCAGCTGCCCTCAAATTCCACACAGCTTTCAACTCCATAATGCTCTCAGTACCTAACAGGCAAAACAGGAAGCTGGACATGAACAATGCCACTTCCCAAAAGGTTGTCTACATTCTTAACTGTTTGCTCTCCAATTTCTCCCTAAGATGGAAATAAAAGCTGTAAAAAAGACTCCCCGTGAAGCACATAGTATAATATGGCATGTATAAATGTTTAAAATATCAAATTGAGACATGATGTTCAGAAGACCCTTTTTGCTCTGAGCATTTCTGATGTAGAGGAGGTGTGACATGATAATGTCGGGTCTATAGTAAAGTGCATTTCCTTCTGGTGACACTGGGCCTAAAGCCTAAAGACACGGATAACAGGTTTGCCACCCAGTGACAACATGCTAGTTTTTATGTTGTGCTGTAAGCCTTGCTTCTCCTATCATACTGAACCATCTGGAGTCAACCTGTCTATCTGAGAAGCCATGAGAGGAGTGCCAGCATGCATGGCAGGGTGTAGGAAGTGAATGAAATGAATACCAACCCCCCACCCCCCAGGAAAGCTTCATCTCTCTGTGCTGGTGGCACATCCTCTGGGCTTTTTCAGCCAACTCCACAGGAAACAGCGGATGACACGGGTGTCATAACAGCACGGCCATGCTCGTCTCAGCTTTATTCTTGTGCTCTGTGTTAGTGTTGCATGTCATTTTGCAGGGTTGAAGCAGCACAGTGCCAATGTGTAGTGCTGATCAAACTTTTCAAACCCTCCAGAACCCTTGCTGGGTCCATCATCAAATATAAGAAGCTAATAAACACTATATAAACCTTCAGAACTTTATTATTTCTGTTATTATGGTTCAGAATTGGAATTATACCAAATATGTCAGGCTGAAGTTTGAGCAAAAAATGATGCACAAGACATGTGAAGTGATGGGGCAAGCCATAAAAATAATCTTAAGACTCACTAGAGTGGTAATGAAGATGTTAGCTTAAATGCAATGTTGGAAAAAGCAGTTGAACTGTATGTGATGTGATCAGGTAAAAGTTTTTAGCAAAATGTTTTATCTGCTGTGAAACAGTGTAGGGGATTCTGAGATTGAAACTTCATTCCTGACCTTGGAAACAGCAGCTGAGGAAAAACTCTTAAAGCCAAATACAATGTAGTCCTTAAAATTTCCTTCAAGAAGATTATGAAACTATCTCGTCACAAGGCAGATTTATTTAAATAAGAGGAAAGCGCTGTATGGTACAAGACGCCAGGTGACAATCTTCTCGGGAACATGTTTTTCATTTGATGGATATGGATTTATCTTTGTCAAGCCGCTTTCCGTGTAGCTGGCACAGAACAGTGCCATGCTCACCTTGCTCACAGGCTCCTCAGCTTGGTATCCATCCAGTAAGCCAACACAGCCCAACAAACATATAGCCCAGGGATGCTTTCAGCCTACATTTAGAGTTTTGCCTGTGATCTTCCTCCTTTGCATTAGTTTGAGGAGCTGGCTCTGGCTGCTACAGCTGAGGTGCTTTATCTCTCTGCCCAGTCCAACTGCTGTGTGTGTCCCTCCCTCCTGCGGCAGCTCCTGAGGCACTGGCAGTAGATAAGAGCAGGGGTTCACAGCAGCTCTGGTCTGAAAAGGAAGGACTGTGAGGACATCAGCTATAATATCATAAAGCTTTTCTGACAGTGATAACCTTCAAATGATCTTATGTTGGTAAATTTAATAGCATTAGTCATCTTCTCTCTTCCACCAGTTTGCAAATTAGTTACACTGAGTGCTCCGTAAAGAAGACGATCCTATACATTATGGGGGCAAACAAAGAAAAATTAGAATAATCATATTGAAAACTGAACTCACCACCCTCATATGTCTACACATCTATTTTTTTTATCTTACAATGATTTCAACTGTGGTGGAACGTGACTAAATATTTTTTCTCATGTCTGCTATTTGTACTTAAAGTATTTGCTCTTTACTTTTACCCTCTACTCATATCTCAGGGGAAAATGTTGTGCATTTTTTTAATCTCTACATTCATCTATGACCTGAGGCTACTAAGCACATTGCTCACTGACATTTTACATATTTGAAACATAAAACTAATTTATAAATGGTGATGCAATGTTATAACTTAAACTACTGCATTAGAGTATTAAAAAGAATCCTACTTTAAGTATACTGCTCAAAAAAATAAAGGGAACACAACATAAGACATCCTAGATCTGAATGAATGAAATATTCTTATTAAATACCTTGTTCATTACATAGTTGAATGTCTTATTTTCCCTTGTGTTCCCTTTATTTTTTTTAGCAGTGTATATTTATAGTATTCATGTACCTTGTTCGGCACCCTGTACATAGTATTGATACGGAATATTTCTTTCACTACCAGTAACATCAGGTTGTTATGAGTAACAACCTGATGGACTCTTTGTTATTAAATTGTTAGCATTTATAATTACACAACTTACTGACTTTTGCTTTTGGCTCAGGAGAAAATGTGACCCTTATCATTGACGACTTATTAACATTCATGTAGACTAAAGGCTTAATCACCTTATAATTAATTACTTCTAATGACATTAGTGTGAGAAGTCGCCTTCGGGTCTTTACTTAATACCACAATTAAAAATATTCTGTTACAATTAGGATAAAAGTCCTGCATTTTTGAGTAGAAGTAGCCAGTCAATGAGTATTTCCAGCAAAATAAATCATCAAAAGTAAACGCACTCATTATGCAAAATCACCCGTCACAACTTGCCAACCCCAAAGGTTGTTCTAATTCATGGCCCCTAATTGATTTATAAAACATTAATAAGTCATTAGTGACATCTCATAAACCCTTAGGAAAAGGCTGCAAAACTATTTCATGTGGAGTAATGAGACGAGCTGTAATAAACTCAAACAAAGCCTGCACTAATTATATCAGGCCACTCTTTATCTTTCGTCTTATCAGCACTTTGGTGAAGCCAAGCACGGAGTCATTACTCGGTCACGACCTGACACGGAGCCGTGTTTAGCTGTCGCTTTAAGACCCATTTCCCCCCATTGTCAAACAGTCGTGAGCAGGAAGAGGGAAACGAAAGCAGAGACCGAAGGGGGCCGACGTATTTAAACACGATGCTGCTGCACAATAACGGTGGCCGCGGGTTGATGTGGGTGAGCGCGTCTGCAGCCCGCTCAGTTGGAAAATACACAGCGGACACGAAGATCTACTCCATCGAGCATCTGATCGGGTTGATGGCGTTTTAATGTAATAATACGCAGACAGTGCTTAAAGTCAGTGCAGGATGATAAAATCCACTTGAGACAAGTGTCACCACGGGTTACTGCCTCAGGAAATGACAGTGTCCTCCATCATCGTTTAGCTGCTTACAGCGAATTTTGCTCGTCTTGCGGCCACTTCGACTGGATACGATTGCTTATTAATATAACACACGAAAAGCCCAAACCGGGTGCAACTGGCGTCTTGGAGGCTCTGGCAGCAGGTGCAGCGCGTCTTGGCATCGGCCGCTGAGCTGAGACCACATCTGGATCAGACTGGACTCATCACATTTAAGGAATGACATCCACTATAGAGAGGAAGACACTGGAAGCCAACGAGTAAGTATCTCAGACCTATGGGATAATATGTTTAGTTTTTATTTTATTACAACGTGGCATTCAAGGGCGCACCGGCGTTGATCTGCGAGCCAAACTCTCAAGTGCAATAACCGCAGGTGGCTGGTAGCTGGGGATCCGAGGTCCCCTACTGTTAGCACGGAAAAATAATCAAGTTCATGTCCAAGAGCAGAACGTTAAGTGTGTTTATGGGAGCACACATAGCTTTTGGCAAGAAAGAGTCCAGTGCTGCTCGAAGGCACAGGCCTACACGTAGGGTAAGATGTCAGTTTATTTTCTGTATATGTCCAATAGACGTATATTAAAAGTAGCCTTACCGATGTGTGACTACAGCACCGGATTTTACAATATCCAGTGGCTCCCTCATGTGGACAGGATCAAATCGCAATTGCACAAGCAATGCATGACTGACAAAACTGGAAAAATAAAGCTTTATTGATGTGGTACATTTAATATTATAAGATGTAATGTGATCCACAAAAGATGAAAAACATATCCAGTTTTTCAATAGTTATCATATATAATAGAGTACTAACAAAAATACTTGAGTACTGAAACAGTAAGTCAATGGATTAGTTGTTTGACAGAAAATGAGTTGGAAACTATAACAACATTTTTCTCAAGATTTGCTGTCCATCTTTTATTTGATGTGACAGTAAAGTGAAAACCCTTGGGTTCAGAAGGGTTGGCTGGACAAACCAAAGGATTTGAAGCTGTTTCTCTGGGTCTTAGGAAATTGTAATATGCATTTTTCACAGTTTTCTGGCATTTTATAGACCAAACTAGTTGTCTTTCTTCCATAGGGAGCCAGTAGATGAAGTCCTCCAGATGCCACCATCTCTGCTGACATGTGGTGGGTGTCAGCAGAGCATCGGTGACCGGTTCTTCCTTAAGGCCATCGAGCAGTATTGGCATGAGGACTGCCTGAGCTGTGACCTGTGTGGCTGCCGGCTGGGGGAGGTGGGCCGCAAGGAAATTATGTCGGAGAGATTACCTCAGGTTAGTCTGGCCGTGTGATGTTGAAACACCATGTCTGAATTAATTGGTTTGGTTTATTTCATCATAAGACACTGGTTAACAGTAAAGTGCCATATACTGTAAGTGTCAACAGGATTAAAGGATAGTGTCTATAAAACACAACAATAATCCACATTATTACACTAAAGCTTTGTTATGAAGAATAGGAGAATGTTTCCATCTTCCTCTCAGTATTGTACTGAAATCCTCTCACCCACTCAGGCTTTTTGGTCAGGACGGTCTCTGTGCTTCCTGTGAGAAGAGGATCCGAGCTTTTGAGATGACAATGCGTGTGCGGGACAAGGTTTACCATCTGGAGTGCTTCAAGTGTGCCGCCTGCCAGAAGCACTTCTGTGTGGGTGACCGCTACCTGCTCATCAACTCGGACATTGTGTGTGAGCAGGACATCTTTGAGTGGACCAAACTCAACAACATGGTGTAGGAGACTCAGAATGATAGAGCGTCACCTTGCCTTTTCCCACTGGCTTTAAAGGGAATGAAACAGCGATAAACAGGCTCTTTGTAGCCTGTCCAGGCTTTATCATGCATCTGGCGTTCATATGGAATCATTTTAATACAAGAAGAAGAGGCTACATATCTGCATTGCTCTCTGCTAATGAAGACTGCACCAGCAATAACACACAGCTTGTCTTCTTAAGGCCTCATCTTTAAATGCAAAAAAAAAATTACTTAAAGTATTTAAACATGCAATAATAGTCGTTTGTTATACACACTGAATTTTTGCGATGAACAAAAACAAAATCTTTGGTCGAGTGCCATCACCTCAGTCTGGTCTAAAATGCTCGGTGTGAGTTTCAGTAACATATTATTTTATGGGTCTGCAATTTCCTAATCATTTTCTCTGAATTCTGTGGAAAAATGTTGTAATTTGATACAAATATGGTAAATTGTAATTTCCTTGAACGACGTGCACTACATAATCTCAAGTAAATATTCATTCATTATTTATTTACTATTGGAAATGTTGATCTTAATATGTGTTGAGTGGTATTTGTGTGACTGGCCACATGCTGAGTAAATGACTGGCTGGTTTTCCTATCAATTATTTGGAATTGAACACCATTGCTGTTTTCTATTTCCCTTCATAGTTCTTTTCAGGAAACTTCCCTAGGAAATAAATAATTTATTAGAAAACTATAGACCTGTAAAATAAAGTGTTACTTTATTTTAAAGGTATAACTGAAATACATTGTTCAGTGTTGTGAAAGTCCTGATCAGAATGATTGTACTATACAGTACAGCCAGGTTGAAGCAGTGGCGCCCTCTAGTGATCAAGGGAACACATGCAAACCTAATGTTGCTGACTGGAGTTGTTTCCAGTGCTTCTTTTGTAATTTAAACAACATGCAGTCAAGACTTTTTTGGATATTTTCTTGTCAGTTGATTAAATAATTTACAATTTAGAGAAACACTGATGTTGTGAGTGTCTTCACAAAGTCACAAGGAAATTAAACAATTTACATATATGTGTGTTTTTATTATATTGTGTGGACAAAAATGTGTTAGACGCCATCATTGTGAGGACATTTTAGCCAGTCCTCACAACTTAAAAGCCTTGAAGGCTTGGTTTTAGGGTTAAGGTTCTGAGAATAAACTAGCAACACTGAGGCTTTTCAAGCAACCTTTCTGTAACCTAAAAAAGTTTATCAAGAGTAGGAACACGTATTGTGACGTATTATTCCTCATGAACAATTTGTACAATCACACTGGAACAAGTTTCTGGAGGTCCTCGCCTATCGAGGATGTATCCTTAACCAACTTCAGAAATCTCAATAGCCCTCTCAAAATTTAAGTGTAAAAAAAAATTCATAGAAATTTTAATAAATAGCTGAAAGAGTTTTAGCAGTTTGATAACTGTGGGCCCTGATCTTTACACCAGCTCCTAGCTACAAGAGGTCACTAACACATTTATAAAATAACAGCTGTACAATGAATGACAGCTCAGTCAGGTATCAGGAGTTTGCCAAGAGTGCTTGCTGGATAATAAGCTGATCATTGCAAATCTACTATGGGATTCAGTTTGTTGTCACAGTAAACTCTTCTAGCAGGGAAGAAAGAGAATAAATACCAGAGAAAGAGAAGAAATTGATGTTAATGAAGTCATGATGTTTTGGGCTATAATATTCACTGTCTTTGAATTTTTTTCCTGGCTGGCTGTCTTCAAAGCTGGTGCCCTTTGTCTGCTTCTACTCTTCATGTCTGCCAGCTGTCAACTCACTCTAAACTGGCCACAAGGCGTGCTCCTCCAGTGCCATCCCACAGCCTCCTGCCATCCCCAGTTATCTTTACAGGCAAAAACCAATAATTGAATCCATGAACTGCTCGAGTGTGAGGTCAGGAACGGAGGCTCCTGACCACACTGTGTCAAGAGGGTGAGAGAAGCAGCCTTAACTGACATTAAAAAGTGGTAAAAAGTGATCGGGAAACAATTTGCAACAAAGATAAAGGGGAGAGAAAAGGGTAGAAGAGGGTAAAGGGAGAAGGCAGAGCAGAGAATCTCCAAGCTGAAGTCTTTAGCAGGGTCTGACAGTAGTTTACTCATGGATGAGGAAGGAATGAAGGAACAGAGTAAAAACAAAAAAAAAACACCAGGGTTGAGATGACGATCTTGCTGAAAGAGATACTTATAGAGAAACTAACAAGTTTTTCCACAATAGAGATGGGACTATAATGTATAGGCACACAGAGGGATACTGGGCCTTTGCTCATTTGGAGGTCTGCAGATTGAAGAAACACCAGTGTGGCATTAAGTAATGCTTGAGGAATGGCAGCAAGAAAGAAAAAAAAAACTATGTGGTTGTCTCAATAACAAATCGACTCCATATTGAACACCAGACTTAAGGTATGTGTGTATAAATAACATATGAACTACATAAAATAAACATTTGGCAGCACCTCAGCAGACAACAATATCTACAACCCTGGTGACACAGGACTATTAATTCTTTTGCAGTCCGACAAACCTCAGAGCTGTGTGTAAAAATAATAATAAAAAAGTAATAACCAGTGCAATTTTTTCTTTCTCCTGATTCATTTAAAAACCAATATGCAGTATAGAAGTTCCACCTTTCTCTTTACCACAAACTGGGCTTACACTTTTGATGAAGGAAACAAAATCTTGCCAATAAGGAAATCGTATGGGCTGAACAAATATGTGTTCATTTGTCTGACAAGAAGTCATTTACAGACAAAACATTTGTGACTATACTGAACAAACTATTATAAAACCAGTAACTGGCATCCATATAGATGTGTCCACCTCTTTGGTTGAGACTGATACATCTCAGCAACTATGGAATAAAACGTGCACACCTCCATACTCCCCACAGGACAAATCATAATGTTTGGAAATCCCCTGACCTTTCATGTAGCACCACCATGATAACATGCTAAACTGAGATGCCTAAGTACGGCCTCACAGAGCTGCTAGCATGGCTGCGTACACTTGTTTACCACTGTGGTCTCTGAGACCCCACACCAAAGGTAATGCATCATTTTCTGTAGTGGGCTTCTGAAACATATCGTTCATTCAAAAGCATGCGTATAAGCAATTCTCATAAAATTAATAAAACTATGTTAAGAATGTTTTTTGAGCTGTTAACAAGAGTCTAACAAGTGAAGAACTCCAACAAATCTTAAGGTTAAAGGAGTCTTCATCTGCTGCACCCTTACAACAGCAAGTTCAGTATGTTTAATGAGACTGGAGCTGAGAGGGGCCCAGTTCTCATCTTACGACATTTACACAACGCACTACATGAGCCCGCAGAGACCCTCAGCATCGGCCAAGCGACCTGCGTTCCATCGGCCAGTACTCCCTCTGTTGCCCCGCAGGCTGAGCTTTGCCAGAGCATGGCCCTGACTTGCACAGCAGCCTCAGCAGGACTCAAAAAAGCCCTGTGCCTCTTGTGTCATCCCTACCAGCTGTACACAAGGCCAAGAGTGTAGTGCTGTGTTTGTGTGCTGAGGGAGGCCTGTTTCATCTCCAGTGCCCATGTCACAGCAGTACTGTACGGGTAAAAACATCCAGCTGTCTGCATGGAAACCGCGGAGACTTTCAGATGGTTGCAGCTTGTTTTTATCAAACAGTTCACCTCACTGAAAAAAACACCCGCACATGCACTTTATTCTGGCGCTGTCTGCAGTGTGAACAGCAGATGGCAGTTGAGATCCAGGTAGATGGTTGCTCTTGGGGTAATGCACAAGAAAAAAGGCTGGGTGTTGTGTGTGCAAGTGTGAAATGACTGACAGATTAAGAAAAACCTGTTTTTTGTATAAATACTAGCTAAAAAAAATTTAATTAGGTCTGAATTGAAAGTAAAAAAGCACTGCAAACATGACAGTGAAGGTTCACTGACACCCGCAAAGGAAGATGTGGTCCGACAATTATCTGAAGCACCATAGTGATTAATCACAGCGTGGCCTGTCAGCATCAAACCCATCTGACAAAATGAGTCAAGTGCTACTGATCGTAGCCGCTTGGGCTTTCACTTACACTCATGCTTTATCAGATGTGGCTAATTGGGAACATATTCATTCTGTGGTTCTGAGAGATGTGTCTGTCAGGAGTCTGGGGGAATAGAGTTTGAGGGTGGGGGTTGTGGGATATGGCAGGACATTCAGAAGTGGATAGGTGAATAATAAGCGTACATCCTTTAACTCTTGCCGAGCATGTCCCTCTGACTGGATTAAATATATTCTAAGGATTTATTATGCGGAAGACCCAGAATGATCCCCATATGTTTGACAGAGTTCCTGGCTTGTGATGAACTAACTACACATTGCACCAAAGGCTCTGTCCCAAGACCTCCATCAAACATGCTGAGAAGAAAGCACTGTCCTTACAGATTGGGCGGGGTGTTAGAAGTGCCATTCTTTCTTTTAAACTGACAGAGGCAAGCAGCAATAGTGTAAAATAATAAATGTAGCTGCATGCTGATTCCATATTATACAGATTAGAAACTTCAGTCACTGGAATTACGTGCTTTATAACTCCGACACCATTGACTTGTGCTTTCATGGTTGAATAGTTGAGAAAATGAATCAATGTGATGCATGAAAACACTCTTGAGGGTTCAGTGTGAGTGTGATGGTGAGTGTACATGGTGTTACAAGTCAGAGGTGAACCTCTGTCTATGTTGCAAGAAGAAAGAGTAGCATGTTACAAGTTAACCTGTCCAATAAATTAGAAAAATGATTTTCATACCAGAGAATATCACATAGTTCCTGTGATTTATCTTCTCAGCAATTTCTGAGTTGACAATTTACCTATTGATTCTTGTTTTTTCCTCTAATGTTCACATTAAGCACACCACCACCATACAAGTTATTAGAGATGTTATTCCAGTATTAGTAGATGACCTCTTGTCATACACACACATCATGGGGACCTCATAGGTTTAGACCTGCTTTGTTTAGATAAAAAGGACATCCTGGTATAAATCTAAACCTGGCTCCCACCTCCTTCTCATCAGACACCAATGAAAAGCCAGACTATTACAAGGAAGCAGACCGTAACAGTGTATTTGTCTTTTGAGAAATCAGTGTTGGAAAACTCCAGTTAAGTTGGTGGAAAAAAGGTGGCTGTTGCTTTTAAAAATATCAGTGCACATGTGCAGGTAAGTGACCGTGTAGCAAACCTTGGCTACACAGCACCAGGCTCAGTGAAATTTCCGTCTCTAATTGGACTTCCCAGGCAATGCCTGCTTCCAATCACTGCAGAGAGCCAACGTGGCCAGGCCAACTAGCAGGATAGTGGCTCATGTAAAGATCTTCACTTAGCAGGATTTTAATTTACACATGTACAGGCTTTGCATAGATTTTGCCAGCAGTTGCAGAAGTAAACATAATACACTGCAAATAAAAGTCACGTATTCAGAATTTTATTTATTGCGATTTGGTTATTTTAAACTTCTTGGTATCCTGGGTAGTTTTATTGATTACAATGCTGATTCAGAGCTTAGAGCGACGATTAGCTGATTAATTACTCAAACACAAAATAAATAAATACCTGCAACTATTTTGATGATCATTGATATATTTTAGTAATTTTTTCCAACCAAAATGGACAAACATGGTAACAGGTTCTCAACTGTGACAATTGTGTGCTTTTTTAAAATCTTGCTTCATAATACATTTAATATTTTTGGGTTTTAGTGTGTTGGTCAGTCAAAACAAAGCATTTATTGTCTTTTTCTTTCCTGATGTTTTACAGACCAAACAATTGCTTGGTTTATCAAGAAAATAACTGGCAGATTAACTGGTAACAAAAATAACTGTTCCAAAGCGGCAAACAAAAAAATGTGGTAGGGAAAAAAAAGTAAAATTTCACTTATAGTTATGAGACAGATGTATAAAGTGACATAAAAAAAAAGAAAAGGTAAAGTACACTTAAGTACAACACTTGTGTAAATGTACTGGGTTACTTTCCACCACTGGCTTTCCAATATGAAGATTTTGTCTATGATTAAAGAGAGACACTTTTTCAAAAGTACGCCATGACCATGCCACCCACTACACTATAGAATATTTGAGCCCCATCGATTCTCTACACCTGCTGTTTTAAATCTTCCCTTAATGCTTAAATCTTGCCAATGCCATCCTTGATTAAGAATTTCTCTCTTCCCTTGGATTTCCTCTCTCTCAGAGTTGCCTCACCTGGAACCAATCTGTAACACAATCAAAGTGTCCTACATGAAAGCTCAGTTCCTCCCTTTGATAGTCCATTTCTCTCCCCACTTGTTCTTTTCTCTGGTAGCTCCAACAGCCATGTCTGGAAAAAATTCAGCTTAAAATAGAGACACAGTCACTAAGCATTATGCAAATGCCCTTGAAACAATTCGCTGGTGCTCTGCTTTTTGCTTGTGCCGACAACAGAATGGGCCCTTTGTCCAAAAATAAGATGTGCGTTTTGAAAACTAAGCCTGCTGAGAATTTGAGAACACTGTGGTGAAGGATATGAGAAATTTGAGGTAATAAAATATAACTAGGAGGATGAACAACGTGCACTGGCTGTTCAAGACTTCACAAACCAATTGTTCAAAAGCAGACAAGAGACAGATTTTAATGAAATACAAAGTGTGAAAAGTGGAAAGAACAGAGTCATGCTACTTTTTTCAAAGATTATTCTGTTTCCTCACTGGATTGCACTCATCCATCCAAACCATTGATTGCAGCTTCTGGATGAGTTGATGCTTGTAGCTTGCATGCTGCTTGCTCATCAGTCATCCCTCTCAGCTTCAGAGTGTGTCCAGGATCACAGGGTGATTAAACTCTAATAGCAGCCTTTTGAGAAGTCCAGGGAGATTTACTCCTGAGTCAACATGCCAGACCCCATTTCCTCCTCACTCACTGCTGCCTCTCAGCACCCAGCTGGCTGCAGACACAGTGGATCTCCACATGGAGCTTGTATAGACGGACAAAACCTTGGAGGTGACCCTGCACAAGGCCTTAGATACACTACATTGGAAATAAATGTGCCAATAAATTACCAATTTCCCCCAAATACTACTAGCACCGCGCAACAACGCAAACAGAAATTATTTGTTTAGGTATGTTTGAGTGTGAGTGCTGGTGAAGTTAAATGCTAATGTACATTGTGGAACTTTCTTGCATTTCCCAGTTAAAATGCTGATCCAGGTCAGTTACAAGGAACAGCAAAAATATGTAAAGGTGGATGATGATGAAGGAAGATTGGACTTTCTGCAGTTCCATGAAAAAGGTTTGTTTTTCACTTTTTTTATTCAAAAGATTGTTCTACAAGCTTCAGTTTGTAGTTTCATAATACATTAGCGTTTATCAAGTGATTAAATCCTTAAGTATTTCCTTACAATGAGCCACATCTCACTTCTTTGTGCCTATTAGTAGTTGAGATGTAAAACATATGTCTGTTAGGATCCAGGGGCTGGCTCTGCAAGCCTCCCTCTCTCATGTTCTCTTGCTTACATGTCAGTCGTGTAATGAGTGAAATCTAAGTCATGCCACATGTCAAGTTCAAGGTGTGTTAAGTTAAGCAAAGTTCTGTATTTATGTTATGTCTCTGTGACATAGTTCCCTATCTCTTGTTCCCTCCATAGTTCACAAGTTCTCTGGCTCCACTGCCCCTAGCTCCACACCACAGCTTCTCCCACAGCCCCTGGTTTATCAATGTCATTCCATGCAAAGCAATGAAGGGTGTTTACTTAAAAATCACTTTCGGATTTATTTTATTTTTTCCAGTCATTGAAAGGTTTTGCCTGCCACCAGATGCAGAAGTTATATACAAAGATTCAACAGGGACTGAAGTTGATGGAGACATTTTCAGTGATGTAGTAAAACAAGGCAATGTGGTGTTGACTGTTTTTTCAAATGATGGTAAGTTGTATTCAAATGTAAAAAAAATGGTAAAAACAATTTTGTTCTTCTGTTCTTTTCTGACAGTTTTGTGCTGATAACTAAAATGTGTGTACTCTTTCAATATTTTCTGTTCCATTACAATTTTCAGACGCGTTGTCAGACATGACTCAGACATCTGAATCAAGTTACAGCTCAGGTGCCTCAACTGTAATCCTAGATGAGATCCTGAACAAACGACAAAGATTTGACACAACGTCTGATGCGATGTTTGCAAAACAGGTCAAAACAAAGCTTATTTATACTGTGCCTCTTAAACAACATTCTGGTTCAGTCTGCAGAAATTTATGAATGTTCTCTTATGCTTTTATTTTCTGTTAGTTGGTTGAGGGTGTGCTAAAGTCTAAGTCTGGTGGTGAAGAGGTACTACAGCAGTATCA